GCCGACTTTGGTTTACTTGCATTGTGAGCCACCAAAATATTTTACTTAATTATACAAGTGGAATTCTAAACATGATTGGTCATTATGTACCACATATACCTTATAATAATACATATATTTGTTTATTTCAACTTTGTCACATCTGCCTTGTCATTTACAATACCTGAAACCTCTATTTGATATTAATTTGTTGTCAATGTAGGTCCTTTAATTTGTTTAATATTTTAGATTTACACTTAGAATATTAATATATTATACATATATATTTGCAGTAAAGTATTATATTATTCAAAATAAACCTAGTAAGTAGTAACTATTGAATCTATTTCTTACAACATTGCATTTTAAGGGATGTATATTTAATTATTGAAATTTTATGTATGCAGGGTAAGAATTAGAGAAAATATTAGTAGTAGTTATGTAACTTAACTAGGAGTTGTATTGAAAGTTGACATTAGAATATAATTAATTATTAACAATATAAACATTAAAATTTGATCAAATTAATTTAATACAATTTTGGTCTAAAATCTACAAACAAAAATGAAGAGAAGCAAAACGTAGCTAGCGGTAAGACAGGCACACGAAACGGTTATACAATCATACTTTCTTCAACAAATATTCATACTTTTAAATAAAATATTTTATTTTAAAAAATATAACATAAACAAATATATAATATTCCACAATATAAATATGCTTCTTTTTTTTTCAAAATTTAATACAAGAAGTTGTGAATAACAGTTGACATGTAAGCATCTTTTATTACAACCCATGAAAAGTCAAAATAACTAGGGTTGATCAACAAATGGGATTTATGTAAACATGCCCAAAGACTGGGCCGGTTAGGTGGGCCTCAATTGGGCCCAAAACCGGCCCGACCCGACAATAAAAACAACTACGACCTGTCGTTCGACCAAGAACCAGCCCGGTCGGTCAAAAAGAAAAAATAAGACCTGGAACCGGCCCGGTTTTATCACGGGTCCGGTTCTAAGACCCATCGTCCGGGTCGGGTCCGAACCGGCCATGTCTAGACTTATGTTATTTAATGACCGCCCAAACCAAAAGTTTCCAACGTTTGCATGCATAATTGCATAGTTTTTTTGCATATTAATATTGTACAGAGATTACAAAAACTGAGTGTCACAAATAAGCTGTTTGAATCAACTGTCTACACACATCTCAATTTTTACATAGGCTTTAAACAAGAGGAAAGTGAAAAATTCCCAGCAGAACAAGGGTAAACCTTTTTTACATTTTTTTTTTAATATAATCTCTTCTTGTTTTAATTTTAGAATAATAACTCTTTCAAAATTGGAGCTAATTCTCATTATGATTTATCAGTCGAATATTCAGTTCAGTTCAAGCTTCGGCTGTATCAAACGAAGTTTCGAACTTACTGACAAATTATAAGCCATCAAACTGTCCATTTTTCGAGCTGCAATACTTGAATTTTGTTGCTTTAATCGATTGTTATTTCGATGATTAATTTGCAGATATTTAGGAAGATGGTGCAGTTTTTGGCGCTATTCAACACGCTGTCCAGTCGACCTGGAAAAAGGAATAATGAACCATGTGTTGTAAGCAAAACTGCTCATGACTTGGCCAAAGAAGCTAAAAAGAAGCAACTTTTGCTAACTTCTTGTGGCATCGTTCGCGCTCAAAAGTCCGAAAATTACACCGTGGCTTATTCGAAAAGGGGGGAAAAAGGGATTAATCAGGATCGCTTCGTGGTGTGGGAGGTAACAAAGCCATAAGCTGACAATCGCTTTCTTTGTTTTCTTAACGAAGTCGTTTTTTTTCATTCATGTTTTATGTTATGTGATCAGGAGTTTGGGTGGCAAGATGACATGGTGTTTTGTGGCGTTTTTGATGGGCACGGGCCGTGGGGACATCTTGTGTCCAAATGCGTTCGGCAGTTGATGCCTTCTTTGTTGCTTTGCAACTGGCAAGAAGCTGCTGCACTAAATGCTCACAATCAAGATTATTACACCAAAAATGGCCACACTCAGTTTGATCTGTGGAAACAATCTTATTACAAGACATGTGCTGCTGTCGATCGAGAACTCGAGCACCATCCTCGGCTAGACTCGTTTTACAGCGGCACCACCGCTTTGGCACTCGTTAGACAGGTAAATAAAAACAATTTTTCTTTTTTTAGTTAATAATTTACCGAAATAGTAAATCATATATAATCATGACAATAATCAGTCTCATATTTTTTCTGTTTTATTTAGGGAAACTTGATGATGGTTGCCAATGTTGGTGACTCACGGGCCGTGTTAGCAACTACTTCAGATGACGGGAATTTGATATCGACGCAGCTCACAACCGACCTCAAACCAAATCTACCATGTTAGCTCCATCCCCTTTTCTTTTTTATATATAAAATAAAACTAATTTTTCTAAATTTCAACAATTTTCAATAATGACATATTTGTGGATACAGGTGAACATAAACGGATAGCGCAATCGAGAGGGAGAATATATTCTTGCCCGGACGAACCTGGAGTACACAGAGTATGGATGCCAAGTGGGCAGAGTCATGTGAAAGGCCCTGGTTTGGCTGTTTCAAGGGCCTTTGGTGATTACTTCATCAAAGGCTTTGGCCTTATTTCTGAGCCTGAAATTACACAAAGATACATAACCAGCAGGGACCAGTTTGTAATATTGGCAACCGACGGGGTATGTAACAACAACTTTCACATTATTGGGGTACCAAGTGAAAAAAAAAGAAGGCTTTTAATGTCAAAATGCACCATTGAAGTTCACCCAATTAAGATTGACATTACTTATATGTTTTTCAGGTGTGGGATGTTATTCCTAATCAAGAAGCAGTTGAGATTGTTTATTCGGCACCAGAAAGGTCACAGTCGGCTAAGAGACTGGTCGAGCGTGCAGTTCGTGCCTGGAAACAAAAAGGCAGGGCTAATGCAATGGACGACATTTCGGTTATTTGTCTGTTTTTTCACGCTCATCCAACTAATCGAGCATCAGTAGACGACGTGAAGATAGACAAGAATCGACAATAATTCAACTGTTCCTTCATCGGTTTTGTACATTTATGTGGATACCTTCTCAATCATTAATCTAATTTGGTGTGTCTGAAATCTTTAAGGAATGGTGGTTTAGGTTGTTGGTCTTTTGTGTCCAACTTTATTGCTTTTGTTTGTGATCATAACCAGCAATGGCTTATGGTGGGATAGTAGTCTCTCCCAATTGGTAGAGGTTGGAGGTTCAATATTCTTTAGATGCATGAGTTGTTGTAGGTCAATTTTATGAGGCTAATTAGAAGAGAGAAAATGTGAACCATCATCACAAGCAATTTTTAGTGCTCCTTTAAACTTGGTGCAGCTAAAGCACTAATGATGTCATGAAACATATGGTGTTGACGGTTGACCGTCAACTGTTACAGTTAGATATAAATTAAGCGGTTTAATTGGAGGTTACAATATGTTTATGAGATAATTGATTGCAATACCTAAGCCTTTTGAAGCACTGGTTGTTTTAACTCTAATCAAGTGGAGATATGAACAGACTTAGGAAGGTGAATATGTGTAAAACACGAAACAAGACATCGATATTGTCGATCTGCTGTGGAGATCGGCAAGGGGAATGGTTTTTCTTCGGAATTTTGTTAAGAGAATGTGTTGTGATGTGTTACAGTCATATGAGAGGGTATGGATTATGTGGGGAGGTTGTGTGGCTTGTTTTTCATGTCTCCGCTAGGACCCCAACGGGACGATATTGTACACAGAAAAAGTATTAAAAACAATAAATGCCCAGTGCCAGCAAGGGGCGTAGAGTGGCACTACATGTATCTGTACAAAACACGTCTTTTGATGATGTGACAGCTTGGACGGTGGCTTTATCAGTTTTATCAGCTCGACAATTAGATGAGGAGTGATCACCAATTTTTCTCGAGAAGACTAAGAGAGAGATCGGCAAGGACCGGCGTCAGTCGATCGAGGGATCGACAGACCTAACACTGCGTCTTGAGTTGTTTTCGTTACAGAGACTGATAAGAGCAGGTCGATAGGATCGTTGAGGGTTGAGCTCGACATTGGTCGATGGTGGACTGGATACATGCGAGGTAGCTCGGATGTTAGGTCAGTCGCTATAAGATTTACATGAGGGTATTGGAGGTCGGATCGCATGATCTATAAGCTCGACGAATTGGCAGTGAACATTGGTTCTGACCTTAAGGGGTTTGAGGTCGTGACATCTGGAGCATATGACCCTATTGTGAAAAATAGTGGAGAGCTCATTATGGTTTAGTGCTTACTTCGACTGCTCAAGAACAGATCCATAGTTCGGAGGTCGGAGAACAAGGGAGCATGTAGCTCGGATGTCGAGAGACCTCTGAGCATGACCACAGGAGAGACTTCTTCACCAATAGGACGGTAGAGTCGGGGTCAGGGTGATGACTCGACATACTTGGGGCATGAAAGTTTAGAGATCAGAATTGTGGTGTCTAAGACCTAAGAGTCGTAGAGAAGGAAGAAAAATAATCCTTTGCGGATAGGAAGTATGTATCTTAAAGGATAGTAATGATTTCCTACCCACGGTTGGCACATGTTAATATGCACACATTTGTGATATATTTTTTTGTACATATTAACATCACCAATGTGTGCATGCTATATAAGCGGTGGGCATATTAAAATGTGTCCACCATGGGTAGGGGAGCATTACTCTCTTAAAGGATATTTGATATGAGAAATATGTTTTGTTAGGATTGCGGATATGAGAAAGATCTTTTCCCTAATTGGATGTCTCTTGGCCTCCAAGCAAACCTAGTATAAAAGGGTATACTGGTTTCTTATTTGACACAAGACACATACACGAACAAATATACTATTGTTACATTACTGTTGAACATGGACTGACTTAAGCGTTGGAGCCTTTTTCTTCGAGATTTCTCCTGCCGTTTTGCAGGCCATCGGAGCCGACGAGGCGGTTCAGGTTGGCGGATTGCGGTTCAGACCAAATAGAGGGAAAATCTGCGTAACGGGGACTTGTGTAGGCCCAATTGCGCGTCTGAGATTTTGCTCAATAAAAGTATAGTTACTTTTGCATATATAAAATAAAAGTATTAATTTATATCAAAGTCTGACTATGAAGTATGATCTTTTGCTACATAGGATTTCAGAGTTTGCGAAATTGCCAATTAATCTCAAAACGCATTCCAGAATTATATACATAATAGATTGATACAGTACACGAGTGTGTACTAGTTTTACATTATTTTGAAAAGCATAATATTATATGAGAAAATATCGTGTATTTATTAAAAAAATAATCTATTTCGTCAAACTAATTGACTAATAACCTTCATAAAAATTATTAATATGTAAATGATGATCTATTTAGTCGAACTGATTGACTAACATTATAGGACATACTTAAAACCACGTGTGTAGGTAAATGGAGTAAATAGCGGAGTCAATCATTTTTTTTTCTCAAGTCCATTTGAAATTTTAACCAAACTTCTGGTACATTGTATTAGACTTCGGTTAGATTATAGTTTGGTTGTGCTGATTTATTTACGTGTCAAGCTGATTTATTTCCAAAATTGGTTGGCTATGATAACTAACAAACTCCAAATGAGCTTTTGCCGATCCTCATATATAACCTAGCATTTCAGTAATTTACAAATATTTAATTAATTGAATGAAATTCTTTCATATCTTATTAATATTTGAAAGTGTTACAATGAAATTTGTCCCCTTGTTGCTTGTTCAGCAGTCTCACATGTAATTTCTTTTTTTTTCCCCAAAAAATTGATTTTTACATATTTTACAGTTTTACTTTTCGTAAGTAGAAGACTTAAAATAACTCTTAATATCATTTTAGGTGGAATGAGAAAATTAATTCTATAATTGAAGTATGGAGAAATTTGAATTTATGGAACTCAATTAAATCACTTAAAGATTATTGGAGTCACAAATTTTATGTCTTTGGCGAATGTTTGTAATAGAAAAACGAGTCATAATCATGTTGTATACATGGTAGAACTCTAAAAAGTCTGTTGGGGATGAGTAGGAAAAAACGGAACACAATTCTGAGTCCAAGCAAGTGCATACAGGTTCCCGACGCGCGCCAGGCCCCGTCGCATGAGTGATACTCGAATTAGCCGACCAGTTTGGCACGATGAGAACGCGACTTGGACGCATATGGTCATGCTGAAAAGGTTCATTCTCAACATGGACGACCAGACACGTTCCGAAAGGTGTCTTTTGACACACAAACCCCTGGAGGACCTACTAGTGGGGAATCTAACAATGCATGGAAGTAACATGCGCAATATGCAAAGAGGAAGAGGGAAAAGGTCATATTTATGACAACAGAACCAGTCATCAGCTTCAGATCGGAGGACGTAAAGGAGTGCACACACCTCATAATGTTGCAATGGTTATTTTCGCAAAGGTTGCAGAATATGAGGTACAAACAGTATTCCATGACACGGGGAGCTCAGTAGACATTTTGTATTATGATTGTTTTAAGAAAATGGAGTTGGAGATAAATTTGAAGGAGGTCAACACGACATTGTAATGGATTCAATGGTGGAAGGTCATCCCATGTGCGATGCAACGTTACCAGCGGCGTTGGGGTCAGGTGCGACTCGAAAAAAAAAAGGTGAGGTTTCTGTAGTGAAGTCATAGTCATCCCACAACATCATAATGGGACAACCAAGTCTCAACTCATTCCAAGTAGTGGTATCTATCTTCCACATAAAAATTAGGTTTTCAGTGGGTGAGTTGGTCAGAGAGGTCGAGGGTGACCAGCTCACGTCGAGGTCATGTTATTTGGTGACAGTTAAAGCATGGAAGCAAAAAGCCAGATGTAGCATCAATACGAGCAAAGTAGTCGAAAGGTCAAAACTAAAAAATGAGAGAGGGGAGATGGAGCTCAATGAAGAAATGATGGAGGTGCAACTCATTAAAGGCGTGAAAGGTCAGGAGATTAAAATCGGGGAAAATCTGCAAGAGCCTCTGAAGGGCGAGCTCATCGTCCTTATCAGAGAGTTTAAGGACATTTTTGCATTCACGATGAGGTGAAAAGAATAGAAGCTACCATTATTGACCACAGGTTGAATAGTTATCCAAAGGTGCGACCAGTAAAGCAGAAAGGGTGACATCAGGAATGGAGATGGACAAGGTTATCGAGTTGTAGGTCGATAAGTAGTTGAAAGTTGGGCACATCATTGAGATACAATTTCCCGAATGGCTCTTTAACACAATTATGGTTACCAAATGGGAAGGGAATTGGAGAATGTGTATCGATTTTCATGTCCTGAATAAGGCCTGCCCGAAGAACCACTTCCCTCTCCCTAGAATAAATTAGCTAGTCGACTCCACAGCTGGATGAGAGATGCTCAGCCTTATGGATGCGTCCAAGTGTTATAACCATATCCCGTTGGCTAAGGAGGATAGAAAAAAGTGAGCTTAATTACAATTAAAGGGACCTACTGCTATGCAGATATGCTGTTTGGGCTGAAAAATATGAAGGCCACATATCAAAGGTTGGTTGATAAGATTTTTTTGGAGCATAGAGACCAGAACATGGAGGTTTATGTGTACAACATGCTACTGAAAAGTAGAAAAAAAAGGAATCATATAGCTGAAATGTTTGGAGTTTTCAGGAGGTATGGAATAAAGTTCAACCCAACTACATATACGTTTGGGGAAAATCAAAAAAGTTTTCTCGATATATGTATTAGTATTCCTTACAATATGGTCACGGAGATGCGGATTGAGGTAAATCCCAACAAGGTACGAGTTGTTTTATAGATGAGACCTCCTAAGAGTATAAAAGAGGTCTAGGTGTTAACAGGAAAGATGGCAGGTTTGAGTCAGTTTATTTTTACGGTGGATGAGATGAGTATCCCTTTATTCAAGACGCTGAAGAAGAGAACTAGGTTTTCATGTACAGAGGAAGTGCAACAAAATTTTGATGAGCTAAAGGTTGTTCTTATTGACCTACCTTTGTTGGCGAAGCTTGTTAATGTGGAGAAGTTGGTGTTATACATCTCGAGCGGAAAGGCTACATTGAGCTCAATTTTATTAAAGGAGGAGAAAGTCATGCAAATTCCTATATATTATGTGAGTAAGATCATGAATATGTGCGCCAGTCGGAGGTTGAGAAATGAGATTTGGCAGTCGTGGTAGTAGTAAGAAAATTAAGACCTCACTTTTTACTCATAAGTTGTATGTTCGAACGAACCTATCATTGGGGAGACATTGGGACGACCTGTGGTGTTCGGACAAATAGTCAAATGGCAATCCAGCTGTGCGAGTATTCAATCGAGTGTAAACCTAGTAGAGCTATTAAGGGTCAAGTTTAGGCAGGCTTTATTGAAAAATGAATAAGATCTGAGGTCAAAGAAAAGTGGCAGGTGTTTGTGGATGGTTCAGTAGCAAAAGGAAGTGCTGGATTGAGAGTTGTTTTGATCTAATTACAAGAGATAATTTAGAATTAACAACCAAGATGGGTTTTCAGTCTCCAACAATGAGGCTGAGTACGGGGCCTTATTGAAGGAAATTCAGTTAGATGGTACAGGATGAGCTCGAAACGTGCAGGCCCACTCAGATTCACAGTTTGTGGTCGGCTAGATGCAAGAAGGATATAGAATAAAAGAAGAGAGTGTGAAAAAATAAGTGGATGAGGTCCCAAATTTATGCAAGGGTTTTAGCTCTTTGGAGTTGGTAAAATACCTAGAGGAGAGAATGACAGAGCAGATCTACTATAAAAAATAGCTCAAAGTCTGGTAGATTGCAAAATCAGAATTGTGACACTATTGTACGTAGAGAAGAGTGTTATAGAGGTTGTGGAGGTAAACGAGGTAAAGGATTGGCGAGCTCATATTTGAAAGGAGCTCCATGAATGAAAATCAAGAAGGTCAAGAGGTTCTTTGAGCAAGAGAAAATCTTGTACAAGAGGTCATACAGAGGATCTTATTTGAGTGTGTCACAGAAGAAGGTCGGTATGTGCTGAGGGAGGTTCATCAAGGATGTTGCATTGATCATCGCAAGGCGAGGTCGCTCATTGCTAAGGTATTGAGAACAATGTACTTTTGGTCTACAACGAGCTGATGCAATTAAGATGGTTAAAGAATGTATTCATTGTTAAAAAAACATGATCCTATTTCGCACAAACCAGACGAAGAGATAACAACTGTGAGTGCACTAGTCTTCTTTTTCCTATTGGGAATCAACCTAATGGCCCCCTACATCAAGGGTTGGGCACAAACCAGACGAAAAGGGGCACAAACCAGACGAAGAGATGACAACTATGAGTGCACCAATCCTTTCTTCCAATGGGGAATCAACTTAGTGGCCCCTACATCAAGTGTTGGGACAAAGAAATTTTTGTATCGTGTCAGTTGATTACTTCTATGTCCATTGCATATGGAGCTGGAAGAGTCATTGTTGACAATTCTCCTAGCATAGTGCTAATAATGGACTAGATCAAAATGACTCAATTAAATTCTAGTGCTTCTTCTATTAGTGAAGTTTCTAGAAAAAAAATATATCAAACGACGCAACGCACCTTGGGTCGCTATGAAAACAGCCTCCTTGTATAATTACAATGGTAAGGTCTGCGTACAGTTGACCCCCCAGACCCCAACCTGTTGGGAATATACTGGGTATGTTGATGTTGATGTTGATGTGTCAGTTGATTGCTTCACAAAATGGGTGGAGTTTAGCCATTAGATCGAAGTACAAAAGAAATGGTCATTCGTTTTTTATACAACAACATTTGGTTTTGTTTCAGAATTCTAAAAGTGTTTATTTTAAACAGTGGAACATAGATTAGTGGTCGGAATATTCAATCTTGGTGTAAGGAGATGAAGATCGGACAACATTTCACTTCATTAGCTCATCGGCAGTGGAGGCCACAACCAATGTAATACCCATGTATTGTAGAGTGTTGTATTAGTTTGAATAAATCTTTGGAACAAAATCTTGATTCAAACACCCATCAACTTTTTTCAAATTGATTCCATTTTCCGTCCGAATAAGTCAAATTCAAAATCGCCATATGATTCTCATTTGAAATAGCCATTCGTTAAAGACTTATTAGACTAGCCACATTTGCTCTGCACACCCCTACAATACCCAACCTACGGTTCCCTGTTTTTCTCGTGGTTGCCGTCATTTCAATTCCGCACACGTTTTCCCTGCCTTCGCCCTCCTTTTTAATTTCCTCTTAATTCCCGCCCACTCCTCGCCATGTCGATCGGCGACTCGCTTCCTCCGCCGCCGGCGCCTGCTCTCGACGGAGTTCCTTTCGAGCTCTGGGATGAGTCCGATTTCGACCAGATCGTCTCCGACGGCTTCGTCTCTATCTGCGGCTTCGGTCCTCTTCTATCCGGTTCGTCCAATTCCCCAGCCAAGGCAAAATCGACCATTTTAATTTTCAAAGGCCATTGTTTGTCTGGTTTTTTTTTTTTACTTAGCTTCAGTCGTTGAGCTTTGGTGCTTGATTTTGCAGGATTTGAGTTAAAATGCTCCTTTTTTTTTGTGCTGATTTTGAGAGAGGGAAGCGAGGAGTGTGTTTCCAAATTTGATAAATTTTACGATTGCAAGGTTGAGTGGATTTAGGGCAGTGTTTGCTCACGTTTCTCCTGCTTTCTTCCGACTCGGCATTGCTAAGCCTGAAACAAAGGTTGTCTTTCACAATATCCCCGGAATATGTTACGGTCCCGTTACAGAACCCTTTCGTCTGGGTTTGCAACCGTTAGATCAACTATCTCTGACGGTTACATGATGATCTAATGGTTAAAAAACCCGAAAGAATGGTTCCGTAACGGGACCTTAGCATTTCCCAATTTCTCCCCTTCCTTTAGTGGTTTTCTGATTGTTCACATTATTAATTCGATGTTAGTTACGAAACAAACTTGTGATATGGGTTTGTATGCAAAATTGAAGCTTGATTTGCCTTTTGCAGGAGATTTCAAGCTTGAGTTTGGAGCCATGTGAAGGAGAAAGTGTCGTGGTCACCACTTTTCAGATATTGAGATCAGATGTATTATTATTAATTTATTATAATGCAATTTCGTCTGCTGTGAATATTCGATTAAAATGATTCTGACATGGGATTGCATTTGTGAAAACAGATACCGGCTTTTATCGAAACCGAGCACGAGTTCCGTTTTCTAGCCGTGAGTTCCGTACTCTCGGTTTTCTTCCGAAATGAATGTCCGAGTTATATACATATGCGTACATTGTCCCATATTGTTATGTGTTGTTGTTAATTTGTTATGATCTTCAGGTGACTTTAGAGACACTAAACGGCTTGTTGTATACTACTTCAGCGGTGAGCAATATTAGACCGGACTTTGTATTGAGTCGCCTGAGACTATTTATGTCATCATCGGTTTAGTTACAAACTGTTTGTTCTTTGTGTCAATGGCAGGTAGTCCGAGCATCTTATAGCGATGAAGAATATTTTCAACACAGATGTAAAGGTGAGTTTTCTTTTTTTGTGTGATCTTGTGCATAAGATAATTCGACAAATCATGCATGTGCATGTCTGGTGTTATTGGGAGATGCTACGGTTCAGTTACGGAACCACTCCATCGGGTTTGTAACCGTTAGATCAGCTATCCACGATGGTTACATATATCTAACGATTACAAATCCCTACGGAATGGTTTCGTAATGGGACTGTAGCATTTTCCGGTTTTATAATCAAATATATATACTTTAAGGTGGAAAAGAATTTGAAAGGAAAAAAATAAACAAAGAACAAAAAAGAGTGGTTGAACTATAGAAGAATAATGTGATTCTTTAATGTTATCTCCTGGTCTGTCTTTTATCTTTTGCGTGGCCTCTCTTTCAACATTCAGTGGAAACAGGACAGCATCAAACACTGACAAATTTATGCTTAAGAATTAAAAATAATAATAAAAAAAAAATTGTTTAATTTTTTCAATACTTTTGAAAAACTTGTCACCTATATAAGACTCGATAGTCCTTATTATAATAAAAATATTTAAACTCATATCGATAATATGCTTATAGATTAATTTATTTAATTAATAAATAATAATTTATTATTTTCTAATCAGAATTGATAAATAATATAAATTTTACTTATAAAAATTAGATATAATTAATTTTATTTTGTTTTATACATGCATGGCCAGGAAGCAAAGGGCTGTACTTTGAACGTTTTGGACGATACAAGATTCGAAGGATATGGTCAGACGACATATTACCGTGTCGTGCTTACCTTCGGCAGTGGTGACTACTAACTCCATTATATTATATCTAAACTGCCCACATTACTACCATTTCTGTTTATCAAATAATTTGTGAATTGTGATTACGTGATGATATATACTCTTGCAGTGTAATGGCAGCAGAGGAACTTAATGAGATAGCTTATAACAGTTTCCTAGACCATACATTTCTCGGGGATCGTAAAACGACTATTCGCGAGTATCTTTCGACTAAAGGCTTAGGCATATTAGACGAGCAGCCTTCCGACTCCTGATCGCTAACTAAAAGCACTTTTGTCCAGTTTCTTCTATTGTAAGAGTAGTTTTATTTGCTGCCTCCAAATCTAACTCTAGGCAAGCGAAAATAAAATAATAATGTACAAGAAAAGAGTTTGTAAGAGTAGTTTTGCCGACTCCAAATCTAACTCTAGGCAAACCAAAAAAATTATTGTACACGAAAAGAAAAAACAAGAGTAAATCACTCTTCAATTCTTCATATATTTACTGTTACTGCTTTTTTTTTCTTTAAAAACAAATAGTCGATCATGTACATGTGTTGGATGCAAACAAAATATTAGAAATTATATGTATGTTATTGTTGGGAAAAATACGCTGAATTTTCCATGAAGTCGGATGTATAAAAGTGAAATAAAAGAAAAAAATTGGACACACCAAATTGATAACGGAGTTCGGCCAATAATGCCTACGTCTTCGGACTACTGCAAATATTTTATTAAGAAAAAGATACACTCGTGTTTACAAAACACTCTCAAACTCACTCACAACTCACAACCCAAATACACACAGAAGCTATCACGTTTCTTGTTCACTCTCTTCTTTTCTCGCTTTTTCTTGAATTTTGGGGTTGTAATTTTTTCATCAGAATCCCCTCCAATTTATAGAGGGGGAAGTGTACTAATTTTTCAACAAAGTTGTGCTGATTTGTTTTCAACTCTGGCTGTTGTGCAATCTTTTCTCTTATTTGGTTGTTGTCGAATAAAAGCAGCGCAGCCACTTTTGACTCAACAATCTCCCACTTGAGGACTAGTTTCAATCTGTCCTCACACCTCAATTACTGCAGTAGTCTTCAACGGTCTGTTACTCTAACAATCCAACTGAAGTTGAGCACAACTTCAGTTTGTCAACGGTCACCACCTTCGTTAGCATATCTGTTGGGTTCTTGCTTCCAACAATCTTCTTCAAACTTAGGACTTCATCCTCAAGAAGAGATATGATGAAATGATATCATATGTCAATGTGCTTAGTTCTGGAGTGAAACATAAAGTTCTTTGCTAGATGTATTGCGCTCTGACTGGCACTGTGCAAGACACTCTCTTTTTTAGTGAAACTCAACTCTGCTAACAATCTTTGAACCCATATCAATTCCTAACTGGCTTTTGTCACTGCTACATACTCAACATCTGTAGTGGATAGAGCAACAATCTTTTGTATCCATGACATCCAACTAACAGTTGTAGCCCCGACAGTGAAAACATAATCGGTGG